TTGACACTGTAGATTGCCTTTGGTAAAATGACCATTTTTATTGATTTATGTTAATCCTACAAATCCTTGAGCATGGGACATCTTTCCATCTTCTGGTATCTTTTTCAACTACTTTCTTCAGAGGCTTGAAGTTCTTGTCATTCAAGTCTTTGACTTCCTTAGTTACTGTTACCCCTAGATACTTTACTTCTGGCTTTTGTGAAAGATGTGGTTTCCCTAATTTCTTTCACAGCCCATTTGTCATAAGTATCCAGGAGGGCTACTGATTTTTTTTTTTTAATTTACCTTGTATTCAGCCACTTTGCTGAAGGAGTTCAGCTGCAGGAATTCTCTGATGGAATTTTTGGTGTCACTCATGTACACTATCATATCATCTGCAAACAGTTCGATACTTTCACTTCTTCCTTTCCAAGTTGTATCCCCTTGATCTCCTTTAGTTGTCTTATTGCTCTAGTTAGGACTTCAAGTACTGCTTTGAAGAGATACAGAGAGTGTGGGCAGCCTTGCCTTGTACTTGATTTCAGTGGGATTGATTTAAGTTTCTCTCCATTTAGTTTAATGTTGGCTATAGGCTTGCTGTATATTGTCATATATATATTTATTTATTTATATATATGTTTTATATTAAACATATAAACATATATATTGTCATGTGCTTTGTATCCCTGGTCTCTCTAAGACTTTAAACATGAATGGATATTGGAATTTGTTAAATGCTTTTTTGGCATCCAAGGAGATAATCAGGCGGGTTTTCTCCTTCAGTTTGTTTGTATGGTGGATCACATTGATGGACTTCCTTATATTAAACCACCCCTGCATGACTGGCATGAAGCCTACTTGATCCAAGCCTACTTGGATGATATTTTTGATGTGTTCCTGAATTTAGTTTGCAAGTATTTTATTGAGCATTTTTTTTTGCACCAATGTTCATAAGAGAGATAGGTCTGAAGTTCTCTTTTGTGGAGGGAGTGTCTTTGTGTTGTTAAGGTATCAAGGTGACTCTGGCTTCATAGAGTGAGTTTGGTAGAGTTCCTTCTGTTTGCACTTTGTAGAATAGTTTGAGGAGTGTTGATATTAGATTTTCTTTGAATATCTGGTAGAATTCTGTCCTGACCTGCAGCACTGTCAGCGTGGAACCTGGAGGGGGGTAGGGAATGAGATGGAACAGGAGACGCGAAGAATGGAAACAAGACAGAATTCTGATCAAGTCTCAGTTTATTGTACTTTAGGTTACAGCTTATAAAGAGTAAGGATGGGCAACTCGGGGGGAAGAACTAGTTTCAGTGAAAATCACAAAGCAGGATATTCCCAAGTAAATTCTAGAAGGTGGGAGGACAGTTCTCAGGTAAGTGGGAGGCAAGTTCTCATATGCATACCTTGCCAAATCTAAACGGTTGAACAAACCTCTCCAAAGCTCAAAGCAGCATCTGCGGTCCAGGGATGGACACTCACTGTACCATGCAAGGCACAATGTGCATCATAGATTCCAAGTAGGCAAAAGTCAAACAGCCATTCTATGGCTCCACAAAGAATTCCCACACTAAAATCATCCAGCCCTCCACTGTTTTTGTGTGTGTGTGTTTGGGGGTTGGGAGACTTTTAATGGCAGCTTCTATTTTCTGAGGAGTTATAGAGCCGTTTACACTTTTTACCTGTTCTTGATTTAACTTTGGTAGGTGAAAACTATCAAGAAAACCACCCGTTTCATTTAGATTTTCCAATTTAGTGGAATACAGGCTTTTGAAATAAGACCTAATGATTCATTGGATTTCTTCAGTGTCTGTTGTTATGGCCCCTTTTCCTTTCTCATTTCATTAATTTGGGAACTGTCTCTCTGCCTTTTACTTAGTTTGACTATGGCTTTGTCTATCTTGTTGATTTTCTCAAAGAACCAACTCTTGGTTTCGTTGATTCTTTGTATTGCTCTCTTTCTTCCTAATTTATTGATTTCAGCCCTGAGTTTAATTATTTCCTGCCATCTACTCCTCTTGGTGTGTTTGCTTCTTTTTTTTCTAAAGCTTTCAGGTGATCTTTTATGTTGCTACTATGGGCTCTCTCCAATTTATTTATGAAGGCACATTGTAATATGCACTTTCCTCTTAGCACTACATGCATGGTGTCCAGTAAGTTTGGGTAAGTTTTTGCTCTCATTTTCAGTGAATTCTAGATGCTCTTTAATTTGTTTCTTTATTTTGTCCCTCACCCAGTGATCATTGAGCAAGCACTTGTGAAGATACCAGGAGTTTGTAGGCTCTTTGTTGTTTCTGTTGTTGTTGAGGTCTTGCTTTAATCCATGGTGATCTGCTAAGAAAAAGATTGGTTAATACAATTTTAATGATCAGTTGAGGTGTGCTTTGTGACCAAGTATATGGTGAATTTTAGAAAAGATAACATGTGGTGCTGAGAAGAAGGTGTATTCTTTTGTGTTTGGGTGAAAAGTTCTGCAGATGTCTGCTAGTTCCATTTGATTTATGATGTATGTTAGTTTCATTAGCTCTCTGTTTAGTTGCTACGTTGGTAACCTGTCCACTGGTGAGAGTGGGATGTTGTAGTCTCCCACTATTAATGTGTTGGGATCAAGGTGTGATTTAAACTTTAACAATGATACATTTATGAATGCAGGTGCCCTTGTATTTGGGGCTTAGATGCTCAGGATTGTGATGTCCTCTTTTGGATTTTTCCTTTGATGACAATGAAATGTCCTTCCCCATCTCTTTTGGTTTATTTATGTGGAGAGTCTGTTTTATTAGATATTGGGATGCCTACTCCAGCTTGCTTCTTGTGTCCTTTTCCTTGGAAAAACTTTTTCCAGCCCTGTACTCTGAGGTAGTGTCTATCTTTGTTACTGAGATGTGTTTCTTGAAGGCAGCATAATGTTGGGTCATATTTCCACAACCATTCTGTCAGTCTGTCTTTTTCTTGGAGAGTTGAGTTTACTGATGTTGATAGACACTAGTGACCAATGCTTATTAGCTCCTTTTATTAGGTGGGTCTTTTGCTGGGCTTTGTGATCAGACCCAGTATTTAGTCTCCATTACTTCCCTGTAGCACATTCTGTATCTCTGAGGCTTTGTGAGAAGTGCTACAACCAGAGTGCAGGACCTTGAAAAATCTGCCATTTCTTATGGGGTTAGGACTATGTTCCTAGTGTGTTCAGGCAGGGTTCCTGGGATGTCTTTGAAGACAGACCTTTCTGTATGACCTTTCTGTACTGTCAAATTGCAAGCAGTGCCTATGTTGGGCAAGGATTCAGCAGTATCTACCCACTGGGTAGCTCTCAAAGAGGGATCCTCCTATCTAGTCTTCAGATATTGTTGGCAATTTGAGGTGGTGTCTGTAGGTGGATGGTAGAAAAAAAAAAGCATTTCATTGTGCTCCAGAGAATGCCCTCCTGATGCTGTGTGGAGCCTCTGAGCTCCGTTCAAGCTCAGCCAATGACATGATATTCTTCCAGAGCAGCTGTGAGGAAAGGCCCTCTCCTCCCTCAGTGTCATTAATGCTGAGTGTGCACATATTCAGTCTGAAATTTTCAAGGCACCTGTTTCAAGGTAGTACCTAAAAGTGAAGGCTTATTCTAGACCAATGATAAAGCTGGCAGAAAGATTCATTCAGCCCAAGACCCATGTTTTTTCAGGCAAGAGTAGGTTATTTTTCTTTCAATTCAATATCTAATGACACAGGAACAATGTCCATTTTCTCCTTATGTGACCTTTGTGAGAAAGAACTCAGTGGTGTCACTTCAGGGAAGGCTGCCTGCAGGTATTGCTTTGGCCTGCTTCCCTGCTGCTGTGCTATAAACAGGCTCCAGGAGCCTAGATGAGATAGGATGCATAGATGTTTAAAATGAGCATTGACCACAGAAAATGTCCACCAGGACCTGCTTAACTCAGTAGAGAAAGGAAAGGCAGAAAGAGTTCTGAAGTTGACGGTTGAGACTACAAAGGTCCCAGTGTGTTACCACAATGGTCATCACATCGGGGTCAAAGAGTTGGTTTGGAATTTAAACAGTGTCCCAACCAATCATTCTCTGTCCAAAAGAGCAAGATACCAAGCCTCTCTGAGACTCAGTATTCTCCTCTGGCCAGTGAATATTACTGGCCAATGTGTGTAGGTCTTGGTACGAATAGTTGATGCTCAGTGCACCTGTCCATCAGGCAGGCAGTAAGGGAAGGGAAGTTGCTGAGGCTGTCAGCCTAATCATGAGCTTACAGGCTCCCTCCAGTGACCAGGACATAAAATGTCCACTTTATACTCTACTGGCTTCTTGGGAATTAAATCCACAACATGAGATTAACATCCCAGAAGACCATCACCCATGGCTGGAACCAATGTCCACTTGTACTGTCTCTCCTGATGTGGCCATAGTACTCAAGACTCCCTTGGCCAGGCTTGGAATTCAGGAAAATGCATCAGTATTGAAGCTTTTCTTAGTGGTCAGTCATTGACAAGCAAACCAGCCATGGGTCCAGGCTTACTTCTCTGGCTTGGCTTGACTTGCTAGGTTTTGTGAACCCTCATGCTCATGGCTCTGAAACCAAACCACAGTCTTAGTATATTGCAGTGTTAGAGTGAATGTGTGAGAAGATGCTCGCAATCTTCTCAAATTGTTCTCAACTGTTTTAAGACAGAGCATCACCTACACTGAGTTATCTCAAGTTCCTTCTGAAGCCATGCCTTGACTGTTTGGCTGTTTCTCTCTCTCTCTCTCTCTCTCTCTCTCTCTCTCTCTCTCTCTCTCTCTCTCTGCCTATCCGAGACTCAGTATTTTCCTCTGGCAGGTGAGTATTATCTCTCTCTATATATGTATCTGTCTCTTTCTTTCTCACACACACACATACACACACATGGTACACAGACATGCCTTCAAGCAAGCAAAACATCAAATACTAATAATAATAATAGTAATGATAATAAATGTAATAATGTCCTGGTTCACCATCAACCTGGTTATCACAACTTCAATCATTTGTTATTTTTATTAGGTTAGGTGATAACAGAGGATGGCTGCCAGCCTATAACTCCAGAAGGCCAAGAAAGATAAACAAGCTTTAAAGAGAATCAATATCAGCCATTTTTCTAATGACCTGGTTACTCAAGTATCAGTCAAAGTGGTATGTTGGAACTCAGTGTCGAAGGCATTCCTGTGCAGGGGATAGCCTTAGGTAGTATCTCTAGCATGAGAAGGCTTAATAGAGTCAGATCTTGCTATTTAATTCAGTTTAAAGAAAGGAAGAGTAGTGCTGTGGGTGTGGTTTCGCAGTAGATCCCTGGCCTCAAATGCCCAGTGAGGGGCTGGGCACATAGCTCAGTGGTAGAGTACCTGTCTAAAATCCTCCAGTGGTGTGAGTGTGTGGAGAGATTTTTACTCAAGTTCTCATGTTTGCTTTGCAAGGGCTTTATACAATTGAGCCTCAGTCCAAGGTTTTCTCTCTTGTCATCATCTTGATGGTATATTTACCAGAACTTATATATTTTTCCCACATTATTTAACTTGCTGTCCTCTGGTTTGTCTTTGTTTTGTTGGGTTTTTTTTTTCCACTTTTTACTTGATTTTATTTCATTTTTTTTAAGTGCAGAAGTGATCTCCTCACCAGTTTTCTGATTTTAATGGCCTGGGGTCTTATCTCGCTCTGTCTGGCTTTTACAAGGCTTGTCATTTGTTGACCTGACTGTTTTGCAATTCTCTGGATCAGGTGCTCATTGTTTCCTCTGTGGTTTTTTGTTCTTGTAAATTTTCTTTTTACGCTTATGGATGAGGGATATTTTGGACATCCTTATTTGTATAATTCCTCCTTGCCTGTCCTTCCATTTTCTTTTTTCCTTCCCCTTCTTCCTCTCCCCCTTCCTCATCTCTTCTTTTTCCTTTCTTCTCCTCCCTTTGTCTTTCCTTCCATTCTTTCCTTTCCTTTCTCACTTTTTCTTTTTTCTCTTTTCCTACTTTGCCTCTCCCCCCATTTCTCTCTTCTAGAAGTTGAACACATGTGCATCCTGGGCAAGCATGACATCATTGTGCTACACCACACCCCTTCACTGTCATATTATTATGACAAGTGATGAAAAGATGTTAAATGAAATTGTAGAGGTGGCTCGGTGGCTGAGAGTACTGGCTGGTCATTCAAAGAAACCAGGTTCAATTCCAGCACCCATAAACATCTGCAACTCCAGACCAGAAAGATTCAATACCCTGTTCTGGTATTTCAAAACATGGTACTCCATACAGGGTACCCAGACATGCATGTGGGAAACCGCGCCATCCTCCAAAAACCAAAACCCCATCCATATTCACACAAATAAAAATTTTAAAAAGGGTTGCTGGACACAAAAGTTAAGAGCACTTGCTAATTTTACAGAAGACTCAACTTTGGTTTTCAGGACCATGTAACCGGTGTTACATGGTCCTGGTAACCGGTTAAAGCACCGGTTATCACAGCTTTAGAGAGTTCAGACACCTCTAGCCTTGGTGTGCACCTGCTATCATGTGCCATAAACACTCATTTAAAAATAATAAAAATTATCTTTTTCAGAAAGGTGCTGAAGGCACCAGGATGACCCTGCCCTAAGCAAGGAGAGTTCTGTACTTTGACATATGACCTACGGGTCAGCAAGTATTCCTCACTGCTTAGTGTAGAGGTGGGTGCACCATGGACTGCTCAAATCAGGTGGATGACTAATCTAGTTGATGTTTATGCTTGCCTGAGTTGTATTTTTATTATGATTGTAAGTTGTTTAAGGCGCTTGTTTACTCTGTACAACTGTGTATAACCGTGTGCACACAGAGATCTCGGGACAATTGGTGAGAGTCAGTTTTCTCCATCCTGGAGGTCCTGGGTATCAAACTCAGGTCATCAGACCTGGCAGCAAATGCCAATTACCCTCTAAGCCGTCTCATTGGCCCTATGCTTTCCTTTGACAGAAGATGAATGGCTGACCTGGATGTGTTTTTTTGTTGTTTGTTTGTTTGTTTGTTTGTTGTTTTTTGACAGGCCAGCTTCAGTATGGAAGACATAATCAAAGATGTGAATAGTTCAAATCCAATATGCCAGGTATCACCATGCAGAGCTCTGGCATATGTACTTTTATAGCCAAAAGTGAGCTCTAGTAGCCTGTTGGATTTCCTGGCATTGGCAAAAGGCCCATACTATGCAGAAAGGTTAGTGCATCCAAAAGCTTGAGGCAATTACCATCATCCTTAACGGCAACTTAAGAAATGCATTCTGTGGTCAGAGATGAATTGCTTAGTTTACACTGGTCTCTGCAGGAATTTTTGGTCATAAATAATCCGTGAAAGGTAAATGTTGCTTTAGGACAGCTGCAGAGAGTTGCAAAAGTAACAGTAGCCTTAGCTAACTCTCTTATCTGATAGCCAAAGTTTGGGGCTTTAGCTTAGGGGTAGAGCACCTACCTAGAATCCTCCAGTGATGGCCTAGGGGTATGGCTCTATGGTAAAGCACTTGTTAGAATCCCCCAGTGAGATGTTAGGAGTGTAGTTCAGTGGTTCAGAACCTGCCTAGAATCCCCCAGTGAGGGACTGGGAGTGTTTCTTGGTGGCATGCTTGTAATTTCAGCACTTAGAACACAGAAGTAAAAGGAGTATCTTGTGTTCAAGGCCAGCTTGGTAAAGCAAATGAGTTCTAAGCCAGTCAGGACACATAGCAAGCCCCTGTCTCAAAAAAACATAGTCTGGAAAAGTAGCATGCATGAAGTCCAGGGTTACATCACCAACTCACATAAACCAGGAATGGTGGTTTCTGTCCAAAGGCCTAGCACTAAGGAGGTAAGGGAGGAAGCATCAGAAGTTCAAGGTCATTCTTTGCAGTGAGTTTGAAGTCAACCTGGACTAAATGAGAACATGTCTCAAACGAAAATAAAAATAAGTCCTTGGCCCTTGCAGTATGTGTTCATTTGTACTTAATCCAGGACCTTAGAAACCTGTTTCTCCAAGGAAATTCAGTAAGTGTGTGTGTGTGTGTGTGTGTGTGTGTGTGTGTGTGTGTGTGTGTGCAGACATATAGATGATATAGATCTGGAGAGACAGAGATACAGAGCCAGAGACAGAGTTTCCTGAGCTTAGAATGAGACATTTTCCCTGAAAAGCCCAGTGTGGTCTGGGAGGTTAATGCTTTATGTCCTGTATGGTATGGGAAAACCCAAGAAAGGGAGTTAACTCTGAAGACTTGTGCCCCATGTTCCTGGCTGAAATGAATGCAACAGTTATCTCGGGGGAAGGCTCAGTTGGGTCTCACAGGATTTTGACAAATTAAAACCCACCTAGTTTTAGTTCAGAGAAGCTGGAATGTGCTGAGTCAGCACTTTAATCTGCAGGGCCTGCAGAGCCTCGAGGCTCCAGGGGAATACAAAACAACCCCTCTGATGCTTTTCTCCTCCTCCTTCTCCTCCTCCTCCTCCTCCTCCTCCTCCCATTCTTTCTCCTTCTTCTCCTCATTCTTGACTGTCTTTGAGACAAAGTTTCTCTGTGTAGTCCTGGATGTTCTAGAACTTGTTCTATAGGTCAGGCTAACCTCAAACTCAGAGCATGCCTGACTCTGCCTCCCAAGTGCTGGGATTAAAGGCATGCATCACCACTTCCAGGGAAAACAACCACTTTGAAAATGCTTCAGTAAGCCTTGCCTCTATGACAGTGGTTGGGTTCATTTCACCTGGATCAGTAGGAAACTAACTAGACTGAATGGCAGGTGTGACTTGGGCTTTGTCTTGATAGCTAATGGAACAAACCAAGGCTTCTTGAGTGTCACAGTCATGTACTGGACCTGGAAATGTAGCTTTGTTGGTAGAGTAGCTACCAAATGTAGCTTTGCTTGGCATGAAGGAGACACTGGATTTCATCCCTCAGGACTATGCAAAACTGGGCATGGTGGTGCCCTGATCCCAGCACTTGGAAGGTGGAGGCAGGAGAATAAGGAGTTCAAGGACACCCGTGGCTACATACTGAATTTGAGGCCAGCCTGAGATACATAAAAAAATAACAACAAAAATTGGGTAGGCATGACGTCATTTGCCTTTTATCCCAACCCTCAGGAGGCAGAAGGCAGGTGGATCTCTGAGTTGAGCACAACATATAATATCCCATCTCAAAAAAAAAAATTTAGTACACAGGGCAAATTTTCTTATGGCTGATCTGCCCCCTCTGTGTACCCCAGAGTGTGTTCTGAATTGCATTTGGAAATGAATGCTCCTACCAATATTCCTTGGAGAACTACTGTGTTCTCTACCAACCTCAGTCCTTCTGGGAGCTGTGGTATGATGCGCGGCTGGTGTTTACAATCACCTATGGCCACCTTGGCAGAGCTTGCTGTCTTTAGTCTGTATCCACGACCTCTGCTCTGAACAACTGTAGCTGTGCAATGCCTCCTAGTGGCACTGGGCATGTGCACTTTTTTAAAAAAAAAGATTTATTTACTTTTATATGCATTGGTGTTCTGCCTGCATGTCTACGCAAGGACGCCAGATCCTCTGGAATTGGAGTTACAGACAGTTGGAGTTACTGACACGGGTGCTGGGAACGGATCTCAGAGACACTGCAAGTACAGTATATAGCCTTAACCACCAAGCCATCTCTCCAGCACCATTATGTATAAACTTTATAAAGTTTATGTATAAACTTTAAAATTGACACCCAATTTGAGTTTCTGCTTGTTCACTTTTTGAAGAGGGGAGATGGAGATGAGTCCCAGGCTGGCCTTGAACACACAGACGAGCTTGCCTCCGCTTCCTGAATGTTGGTCTCAAAGGTGTTTGCCTGCATCTTTGTTCTCATGCTCTCCTCCACTTGTAGATGACTATGCAGAATTCAGACACTATCATTTCCAACAATGCTGTCACACACCTGCTCAGCCTTATTTTAACAACATACCAGTTGAGATTTTATTTTTATTGCATTTTATTTGGTGTGTGTATATTTCCATACCTGTGTGTGTGTGCATGCATGCATGTGAATGTCTTTGCACGCACATACATGTGCGCTTATACTGCTAGTTTTCCTTTTCCACTGTAAGAACCAAGAGATTGAACTCAGGTCACACTTAACAAGTGTCTTTGCCTGCTGAGCCATCATGCTGGATGTTGTTGTTGTTGCTCTTCTTCTTCTTCTTCTTCTTCTTCTTCTTCTTCTTCTTCTTCTTCTTCTTCTTCTTCTTCTTCTTCGACAGTCTCACAGATGCACAGCAGGACTCAAACTTACTATGTAGTCAAGGGTGACCTTGAACTTCTGATTTCCCTACCTCTATCTCATCTTACCAGTGATAGTTGTACACCACCACTACTAGATTTACACCACCCAAACCAGGATGGGAGCCAGGGATTCATTCAAGCAAACACCCCAAGAGGATACATTTCAACACTCACAAAAGAACCATGTGAGACAAGAGGCTAAAAGTTGTCATTGTGTTACTCTTTATGGAAAGCATTGCCAACCCCTAATCTAGAAAGAGGGCCTGAGATCAGGCCCTTGGGCCTCCAGTGTTCAGACAGAAAGTGGAAAGCTTGCCATAGTGGTATTCACAAATGATCTCAGCACCTGAGAAGCTTCTGCAGAAAGATGGCAAGTTCATGGGCAGCATGGACTACAGAGTGAACCTGAAGGTCAGGCTAGAGATGCATAGGAAGACCCTGCCTCATCATCTACTCTGAAAAGTACAAGCTGGGTAGTGGCTGGAGAATTGACAGGGGGTAGGATTGATGATCTCAGATTGTTTCTACTCTAATCACGGGAATCCCCTGTGTCGTCCTGGCTGTCCTGTAACTCCCTCTGTAGGCCAGGATGGTCTCAAACTCAGACATCCACCTTCTACTGTCTCCCAAGTACTGGGATTAATGGTGTTCACCATCATTGCCTGGCCAGAGAATGATCTTAAAGGATCAGAAAGCCTTAGACTTAGGCAGGAGGCTTAGGCAGGAGGATTATCAAGAGTTTGAGGTCTAAACTGGCAAAATGTCTCAGTGAGCAAAGGTGCTTGCTGCAGAGCCTGGGGACCTGAGTTTAACCCTCAGAATCCACAGGGTAGGACAGAACTGACTTCTGCAAGATATCATGGCTCAAGCACACATATATAAACGTAATTTTAAAAAATTTTGAAGCTGCCTGAGCTATATGATAAATCCTTGTCTCAAACAATGGAAAAGAGGGGGGAGGGAAAGGAAATGGGTATGGTTGGGCTTAATATAGCTGGCCTGTAATCCCTGCTACTTGGGAGGTGGAGGCAGAAAGATCTCATGTTCAAGTCCTGCTTGGGCAACTTAGCAGCACCATGTCTCAAAATAAAAATTTATTTTGAGGACTAGAGATGGAACATGAGAGATGTTTCAGAAGTCACAAACACTTCCTGCCCTTCCACAGGACCTGAATTCAGCTCCCAGCAGCCTCATTAGGTGGCTCACAACAGTTCCTAACTCTAGCTCTGAGGAATCTGATGCCCCCTTCTGGCCTCCACAGGTACCAACACTTACTTGTCATATATACACACATAGCTACACAAGAAAATAAATTATTTTTTTTAAAGGAATAGAAATGTAGCTCAGTGGTAGCTTGCTTGCTTAGCATACACAAACACCTGGGATATCTTTTTTTAAATATTATAACTAAAATTGATATATATAAACTATAAAAAATTTAATATATAAAATAAAATATATAGATAATTTAATATATAATATAAAAATAATTATTATTATGTTATGTATTTAATAGAACTTATCAAGTACATTTATCATATACATATATATGCATATAAAGAATTATAGCAGGCCAGTAGAGTTATAGATGGCTAGAAGAAGTAATTCCTGATTTTGCTTTTAACAGAGTTTCATGTGTCCCAGACTGACTGTAAACTCAATGTGCATGCTCAGCATCCCGCTCAGCATCCCGCTCAGCATCCCGCTCAGCATCCCTCTTCTTCCACCCTGACTGGGGTTATATAAGTGCTTCTGCACTCAGCTGCTTGATTGTTGTTTTTGGTTTTTGTTTGTTTGTTTGTTTGTTTTGTGAGTAGAAAAAAATCAAGGGCTGGGGAGATGGTTTCATGGGTAAAGTGCTTGTATTGCAAGTGTGAGGACCTGAGTTCAGATCCCAAGAGTCCACGTGACACCAGGTTCAGTAGCACACAGCTGTAACCCCAGTTTAGACAGTGAGGTGGGAGGCAAAAAGAGAAGAGTACCCGGAATCTTGCTGTCTAGCGAGCCTGGTATACACAAACCCGGAACACAACACAAACATAGAGACCCTACTCAGACAACATGAAAGGGGAAGGGAAAGACTGACACCTGAGATTGTCATGACATGCGTGGCACGACAAAGGCACACACACACACACACACACACGGTAACATTTTTAAACCGTTATGATCTGGAATAAGAGCAGAGTTTGGTTCCCAGCACCCATGTCAGGTGGCTCTCAAGTGCCTGTGACTCCAGCTCCATTGGACAAGGGATCCACCCCATCTTCTAGCCTCCATAAGCATGTGTACACACAAGCACATACTCAAACACAGACAGTGGACTGTGCACATATTTAAAAATAGAAGCTTAAAATAATTAAGTCATCCATTGAGTAGAATAGAGAAAAGCTTTGTGAAGAATACCTAGAAACCTTCATGTGACATTTACATATTTAAATATAAGGTTCATTGTATTTGTCCCTGACACATGTCACTGCCTGAAAGAACTTCTTTTGATGCTCAAAAGCTTTGGTCTACGCTAATCAATAGTATCAACATGGGAAGGTTTGGGAAGGCCACAATTTCCATGCTGTCTCCTTTGCACCCCATCACAAATCATATTTCTTTGTAACATCACATGAACTTGGTCCAACTTACGCCAAAACAAAAGTCTATAGCCTTGTTAGGAGCTGGTGAAGCAGTTGTCACCCAGCCTCTCTCCTCTCCGGCTGGGTTCTGTCCTACCTGACTGTATGCTGCAAAGAGTAAATCCATCTTGTGGTGACCACAGGGTTCCTGCCCAGGCTCAGAGAGCTCGTGACCAGCTCAGAACTCAATGACTTGGTAAATGTCATCCTGGTTCCCACCTGCAAGAGCCTTCAGATCAGAGTGTACGGGTGCTATGATCACAGGACAGTTAGGAATATGCTTGCCTAGCATGCATGAAGCTCTGGTTCCATCCCCAATACAGCATAATCTGGGCCCAGTGGCACATGCCTATCATCCCAGCTGGGGAGATGAAGGCAAGAAGATCATAGTTCAAGGTCATGCTCGGCTGCCCAGTGAGTTCAAGACTAGCCTTGAGGATGGGACATCAGGTCTTAGAAAACAAAAACAGATTAGGTCATGTGTGTCAGATTAACTGTATCAGGTTGTCATCTTCACCTCCCACCCCAGGTCTTCCTGTCAACTCTAAGCCTTTATCTTCAGCTCATCTTCCCTGAGCCTCTGTTCTTTGAGACTTTCTAGACTAACTCTTCCACCCACTTCCATCTCAGATCCTAGTAGGTGTTAAAATCTTAGATTTCTCTCTATATGATAACTAGAAAAGCAGTCGGTGAAGTGCTTAAAATCCTACCACCCAGGGACTTTTCTTACATATTTCTTACATATTCTACTGTTCAACGGAGTTTAACTTGAACAAGTAGGTTTATTCTCTTTCTCCTTCTCCACCCTGTGCATGCCAGTATGCATGCCTCTGTGGGCACATTCATATGTATATGTGCATGTGTCTGTCTGTATGTATGTGACTGTGTAGACCCACTGTGTGCATATGAGAAACAGACAGGGAGAGAGATGGAAAGGCAAAGAGACAGAGACACATAGAGACACAGAATCATCAGATAGAAAGAAACAAACAGGGATAGAGACAGACAGACAGACACAGAAAGAGACAGAGAGAGAGACAGAAACAGTACAGCACAGAGACAAAGACATACAGACAGAAAGAGACAGACACAGGGACAGGCAGACACAGGGACAGACTGACATAAGGACAGACACAGAGACACACAAAGATAGACACTGATAAAGAGAGACAGTCCAACATACAGATAGAGGGCCAGACTGACAGAAAGACAAACTGAAAGAGGCAGAAAGACACAGGCAGATACACAGAAAGAAAGAAACAAGAACAGAAAGAGACAAAAGGCAGAAAAACAGAGACAGACAGATAGAGACACAAATATCCAGACACAGACAGTTATAGAGACTGATAGAAACAGACATTTAGACAGAGACAGACACACAGTTGCAGAAACCAGAGACAGTCAGACACTGAGGAGAAACAAAAAGACAGAGATGACAGGCAGAGGAAGACAGTAAGACAGGTAGACAGTGAGACTGACAGACTGCAGGACAGACTGTCAGCAGGGCAGACTGACAGACAGACAGACTGGCACCAGGACAGCTGGACACTAGGACAGCTAAA